CCACGGTCTAGCGATGTCTTATTTCATGGAAACCATTCCAAGGCACCACTCTGTGTGATGTTTTAGAAGAAAACGTAAAAGCTCTTTACACCAATCAAATCTCCTCAATCGATCATTTCCTCCAAATAACCTCTCGCGTCTGGCTAATTTGAAGCCTTTGGAAAACTAGAAATGATATGATATTCAAAGGACGTAAATGGGAACCAAGTAACATACTTGTTCGAGCTCAAACCGAAGCACATAATGGTCCAACGTAACCTCAAAACCACCACAACCTGTTCAGAATGTCTGACTGCATCACACTCCAAGCTGGTCTCCACCACCCATTGGATGGTTCAAATGCAATTATGATGCAAGCTTTCACATTTCTGACAACAAAATTGGTTCCAGATGGATTGTACGAGACCCAAATGAAGAGTTCGTATCAGTAGCCTCATAATTCCTCCCTCCCGTAAATTCTGCAACAGAGTCAGAGAAGGCTTCGGTCTAATTCATGCAATGCAAATTTTGTGGACTCGTCAATTGATATTCGAAGGAGACTCTCAACAGCTTGTCAATCTCATTCATGGCCGAAAAAATAACATAGCATTAGATAATCTAATTAATGATATTCATTTTTGGATTAATCGTTTTTGCAGGTGTTCGTATAGTCCATATTGGATGAAGTTCAAATGCCATTGCCGATAAGCTTGCACATATCGGACAATCTCAATTTCATTCTTGTTGTTTCTATCATTATGCTCCAAATTGTATACAACATTTGCTCTGATGAGTTTTGTAACAAACTTTCAAGATTAATAAATAGATGTTAAAAAAAACATATTTGATGCTACATTTTTTACGTTTTGACTTTAGAATTTAAGTGTTTTATCATGAGTTCGTCATCCGGAGAATTCTATTAGCCGGACATTGCTGCCAAATCATCTATGACGTTGCGCATAATCCGAATTATTCATTTTCATCACTAACCTCTAGTTTGGAAGCATCAGAGCCAGATATGAGATTCTCATGGCTCGATACGAAAAAATAATTAACAATTAATTTAAATATTTTTTTTTCAAAAAATCTGATTTTTTAAATAAAAATATATGCATGTCTACTTATTTGAATAAAATTATGAAAAAACATACTCAAAATTTTCACCTTTTTATCATATAGTCTCATAAAATAATAGATTTCACAAAAAACAATTTTACTATCTCACTTAAATTTCATTTTTTCCAATTAATAAACATATTAATTAATTTATATTTTTTTCTTTTTAAAGTGTGGGGGTCCCATTCAAATGTTTCAAAACATCTCCTCAAATCCGGCTCTGGGAAGCATCAACGTGTCGATACATACATGTCCTCTAATCGTTTAAATGGACAAAGCCACCAACCTACATTTCAGCACCTGCATATCTATACGAAGACGAGACATCGGAACGCAGCTTCGCCTTTGAAATAGGCTTCCCACTGGCAAAAGCTTTGCTAGCACACCGAATGGCACATATCAAAATGGTATACGTTGTAGGTGCATGGCTTCTTCGATTGTGCAATCCTCCTTAGAGCAGGACCGCGCCAAGATATCGCAGAGGTACGCCACAAAGTCGGTGTCCTAGTCTAAGGCCCCTGTAGTATGATCGGCTAGGGATATTCTTCCTCTAGATATTGACAAAAATCAAAGTTGAGATTATTAGAACCATAATCAACTCTACCGGTCTAGACATCCAAAATCCCTAGGCCAAAAAGAGTAACATATCGCTTTGGTTAGCATGTTCTTGGTTAAGAGGTCCTAAAAGACGCTAAAAATTTGGTGGAGAGCGAAGGGAACCATGGATCTTTGAACAACACGTGGTCGGAGTCAAAGAGCAAATAGAACGCAGGGATAAGTTATGCGAATATAACTCCTCGAGCAATTTAACATGAAAAAACGCCTCATAAAAAGTTCATAAGAAAATGTTAGCTTTCACATCATTAATATGATAATACCATATTTCTCGATAAGTAATTTTCCCTTCTTTCTTTGGTAAATGTTTTAAAATACCGTTATCGTTTTGTTTTATTTTTCTTGGCTAAAAGTTATTCTTTAAGATATTGTTTATCTATTTCAAAAGTTTTTGAAATTAATATTTATAGACTTAAATTCATAGGGTGTTGGAGAATTATACCCTATACATCTGAGTTTGAATAGGTTCGGCAATCGTGCATGACAATTAAATGATTTTTTCTCTTGATTTCTAGTTTATTAAAATGAAATTCAATTTAAAAATTCAGAAATGAAAATGTTATTAGGTTTTGAAATTTTATACATGTAAATTGTATAAATTAAATAATAGTTACGATAAACAAATTTAAAAATAAGCATGAAACGTCAAACGGAAATAAGATGCAACTATTCTTGAGTTTCATCTTCATCTCCTAGAGAGTAAAACTCTCGAAACTTGTCGACAACCTTCCTCGGCAAATCTTCCAAATATATGATTTCTTGTCCTTTTCGACATTGTCTTTCGTTAACGTCGTAATATTATCGGTTGTCATTGTCAATTGTTCCTCTAATTCCAATGTAGAGTAGACAAACAAAGAATTATTTCTTCATGATATCATGATTTGAGAAATTTATATTACGAATAAAGAAAATTATCATTAGCCAAAAAAAGAGAAAATAATACTTTGGTGGTTTCAAATCATTCCAAGCTGTTATTCAAGAGTTATAACTGTTTTGGTGGACAAGTCAATCTACTGCAAATGAAGAAACATCCAAAGATGAAAACACGTGAAGCATCGTACCAAGTCGGCTGACCTCAAATGGCTGAACGACCAATCAATCGATCCAAAACCCACCTGTTCTGCAACCGCGAATGAGATCCGAGAAGCCTTTGACCAAGCGGCCGACCGAATGGGAGCAGAGGTATAATTAGCCTCTACTGCTATTCTACATTCATTTGTTTACTTATTTGTCTTGCTTGTTGTTAATGACTATAGTAAATAGATTGTTATGGTATAGGTGCTTCCTCGGAGGACTCTAAGTGACTATAATCGTGCTAAATATGAGCCCAAATCAAGAAGTTTTGGTGATTATATTAAGTGAACAGTATCAAGATCAAGATGACAAACAAATAAAAAGAATGATGATACTAAAGTAAAGGAGGCGATTAAAAGGAAGTATTTATTGAATTCATTGTGTTTCGTTACACAACTCAGATATACGAATGTACATTAGTTAAAAAAAAAAGGAAGGAACTGAATCAAATCTCTAGAGTCTAGACTATGAATCAAATCTCTAGTCTAGAATGTAAATCAATCAGCAGACCAATGCACTCGCAACCGATGGAACCATAACAGACATTACCCTCGGCTCTTTCGAATCCTTGGCAGCCCCTTTTCGGGGTTCGGGCATACACTTTGCATGAACTATAGGACCTGAGCCTTTCTTGTTCAAGTATACTGCATCTTTGTACATCCAGTCATCAGCTTCATGGCTAAAGAATTCTTCAAAACGCTCTTCACATAACGCACACATCTTCTGATTTTCATCAGCAGGCACTACCCG